ACCATGTCTGGTATCATCTGAGCATGAACCAGCTGTATCTTTTTATGCAAGTGTCTGCTATGTTTATGATTAAGTGTAGCATGAGGTTGTATCACACCCATTTTGATGGAGGTGTTACAACTGATTTCAGTCAGGTTCACCTAAGTAATATGTCATACCTGATCATTGATAATGTCCCATTTCAATTAGATAAGACATGACTTATGTTGAGCATTGACTCAGAGGGAGTGGGGATGAACCAGCTGGGAAAATTTTGCTGCTTCATGACATACATGCCTTGCAAGAGCAAATTGTAAATGCCGATCTTGGCAACCAACAGTCATTAGGTGAAGACATTCTGAAGGGTAGAGTTTAAATTTAAATGAGTGCAAGAGTAAAATTAGGAGGCAGGGTGGAGTAATGGATAGGATCTCAAATTGAGGAATTGGAGTGCAGAGTTCAAATTCCAGTTGACTTCATTATAGTCACTTATGTGCTAATACTCTTGGGAAAGATATAAATCCATCTCTTCCCAGCTATGATTAAATAACAGGATAGATTGGGTCCTTAAATCTTTGGGTGGCAACCAGTCTATGAGAAGGACAACTCTGAGTTCAAAACCATATGTAGCCCAGTAAAGCACATATTATGCAGCTAATTAAAGTATTGTAGAGTTTACAATTACTATGGCATCGGCTGCAGACAGCCTTGATGAGTGCAGGAGGAAGGTTTTAAACTTACCCTATTTTAACTCTTATGTTGAATCTTTTAGTGCCTACTATTCTTAAACAAAAATGACCAGACCTTTTATGAAACACAATTTGCCAACATGATTTCCTTTGTTTAACCCATGTTGACTATGCAAAGGCATTTGACTCAATAAAACATTTGACTCTCTTTGATTCACTATGAGAGCAGAGTATTAATGAAAATTATATAAAAGTTATTGAATATATATATATATATAACACATAGTAACCAAGGATAGATCCTGATGGAGATTTTCTTATGGCCTCACACTCCGCTGAGGCCAAAAACAAATCCGTAACTTAATTTTCTCCTCCACTAACTTTGATATTCTTTAACATTTTTACTCTTGCTAATGTTGCAAAACACCCAAACCAGGTTTCTATGTATTCCTGATCCTCCATTGTGGTTAAGTAACCAATCAGTGACGCCATATTGTTATGATAGGTTTTCTCTATGACAGATGTAGTCTTGTCAAGAGAAGATACCTCTCCTGTAGGTATAGCAATACTGCTTTTTATACAGTACCTCATTTATATATCACTACAACAACAAAGATGAGGACAATAGTTCAAATATAAATCGTGTAAATAATGATAAATTCTCATCCCAGAAATTCAGACAGAATCTTTTGTATTAATGTGCAAAAACAATTTGGTTGAGCTTCACATTAAAATATATCAAAAGTAGAAGTTATGGATAATCTTTAAATTTTTCTGATCAAATTTCAGGAGAAATTTGATTTAATTCAATACAATTTTTTAACTTTTTTTTGTCATCACTGCTGTTTACTCATCACATACCAAACTGATAGACCAAAAAATGAATGGAATATTCATAGCTAAAGAAAATCATAATATATTAGGGTGATTTTTTTCTCAAGTAATGGAAAATTTTGCTCAGCTATATTCTAATTTTTAAGCTGTTGTCTAATAGATAATAGGATCTTGAGTTTTGCAAAATACTTTTACTAACCAAATTTTAATTGAAGAAAGCAATAATTCCATATTTATATTTCAGAAATAAAAAAAAATAGTTCATTTGTTGAGTTTAACTCAGATGATTATCAATTAGTTGGTTACTGAAAACATTATTTATCTCACTATCTTCATTATTTTAGCTTTATTACAGATATGGTCTTTAGCCTCAATTATATGTAGAATTCATTTGCTTGTTTTTTTTCTTTTATACTTATGTATTTTAATGTCAAAGATGCCTTCAAATACAGAGGTAATCTAGGAGTTTGTATGAAAATAAGCATATATTTTATTCTATTTGGAACATGTAGCTGGATATTTTCAACCTGTTTCAATCCCAATGAATTCTATGCCTGATGAAAGTTGAAGAACGCATTATCCAAAATTTCTTAACAACAGCAAGAGTAAAAATACAAGCAATTGCATTCTAGTAACCAAAATGAGATTTAGTACATAAATTGTTTGGTTTACTGGATAAAGTCAAACTCAGGGAAGAGACTTGTTTGAAATATAATTAGATATGATGTTAACTATTTAATAAAATAACAATTAGTTCTATTGATTTTAAGGAAATTAACAAATTTAAGATGAAAGAACATTAATCTTTTCCTTAACTGATGTTAATTATGTACTGCCCTGGTTTTGTCATTTATGCCTTGTCTTCATTTTGAACTTCACAAACTTCTGTGACTAATTTCTGTTTTCTAATCTTTGGAGAATCCTCATTGTTCTATTCTTTGACTAAACAGTGAATAAAAAAAAAAAAAAAAAAAAAAAAAAAAAAAACCCCCCAAAACTGAAAGAACCAAGCATCTGTGACCTTTGGGAGAAGAAATAGTTGAATATTTGCAACCTACTTGAATTACACCTTTCTACAGTTGATGGGAATTGTTTGTGAATAATATCAATATTATTTAGGTAGACATGAAAAAGCCCAAAGTGTATGAAAAGAATAGAAAATAGGAGTAAATAGGTTCACCTATTGTCCAGTTCACACTCTTCTCTTGTCTATTGAACAGGAGTAGAGGTTTATTCCCTGTTTCCAGTGTAGGATTGAGTTTCTGGTTCCTTCTAAAATCTTTTTCATTCTTTCAGTCCTAGTAGCTCTTTGCACCTTCATGGCATTATCACCTTCCTTGGGGTGAATTGATTTAAAATGAAAAAAGAAAGCATATGTTGCTTAAATATTTATATGCACCAGCAAAGTCATCTCCCTGATATTATTTCATTGAACTAATTTCATTGAACTCCATTTCATCATAATAACAGAGTTTGAAAGCTTTCTTAAATTCCAAACATTGTTTTAATAAAATGACATCTGAGTGGATTTACTTGTAAAGAAATTTGCATGTTGTGATTAAAAAAAAAAGAAAAAAAAAAGTAATAATTATCATTTTAGTAAGTTTATAAAATGTTCTGGAAGACCATTGATAGTAAGTTTAATCTTTAATGAGTGCTCAATCCCAATAAAAGTAGTCTTGTGCTGAAGTTAGGCTCATTCAACAAATATCAATAAGGAAATTGAACATAAGCAAATTAAAAATAGTCAGAGAAATTTGATTCTAGTTTTAGCTTTTCATTTGATCAGATACAAATCCTTCTTGCTTATTTTGAATACAAAGATAAATTGTAAACATCTAAACAAATACAGAAACTGACAGTTAAATAACCCCAAATAATTATGTACACAGATGCTCACATGCACATACAGAATATTTGAAGTAAATTTTTGTACATTTGCCATGTAGACATGTCTTGGATATCTTAAGGAGTGAATTACACTTCAAATTTAATTTGAAATTTTAATTAACTAATTATAAATTTCGGAGGAGAATAAGTTGAACCTAAGAAATTGCAATCTCATTTTTAATACAAAAATGTTTAAAATGCTGATTGAAGCAAGGGAAATAATCCAGTGATATGAAAATTCAACACTGATACAAAGACAATTAGAATTGTGGATCCAAAGTGTCATTCTCTTGACACATTTTGATTTAAATATATTTTCAACTTGCATAAAAATTTAATTTGAAGTAAATGGCTGTATTTTATGAAAGAAATCATTTTGGAAAAAAAATATTCATCAATTGGTTCTTTTCCCTTTTTGAAATGAAGAACATTCAGATTGTAGATATATGTATATTTAAAACACAACCACGGTGGAGTGAATGAACAAAATAGCAAAATTAAATTTTTAAAGTGTAATTTTTATTAAAGAATAAAAAATTATCCATTTTATTAAATGAAAATTCTTCTCATCCCAAACAAAAAAAAGCTTAGGATTTTTTTCTTCTGAACTCTTATTAAAGGAAAATTAAAATGTGAAAATAAAAGTCTTGTATATTTTGATTGGATCAGAAATATAAATTACACAATCAATATGGACATGGATTAATATATGAAGACATGCTGAAAAGTTATTGACCTGACCCACTTTACAACATTTTTCTGCTGATTAGTCATTGAAATACTGATTTTGGGAAGCAAGTATGGTGAAGAATTTTTCAGTAACTTGTCCTATATACTTACCTATATTAAATTATCTAACAGATTGTTGAGTTACTATAGAAGATCCTTTGTGGCACTTTATGGGGCAATTGGAGTTACTTGGTGGTGACAATCTTTCCACCAAGAAACATGCAAGAGGTTATACTGTCTTCTATTGTAAAAGAAATAGAGAATTATCCCTGATTTAACTTTATGTATAGATGTGGAGAGAGAGAGATAGAGTATATAAAATTATTCATCATATTCATGAGTATATGTGAAGAAAAATTTATTAAATAATTTCCAACAATGATTTTTTAATTGAGCAAATTAAATTAATGAACACCAAAATAGAATTGTTTTACAAGAAAAAAAACCTTATTTAAATCATAAATATTTGTATAAAGAGCTAAGGGACAATAAATTGGCACATGAAGGCACATAGTAACTATAAAAGTTGAATTATTAAGTCCTACATCTTACGGACATTTCATTGCTTTGTTTATGTAACCTCAGTGTTTATGGATGCATGTAACTGAAATAATCAAGTAAAGAAAATTGTGATTTCCCAGATTCATCCAAATACAAATTCCTAAGAGTATCCAAGGAAAAAGTTATTGTGTCCATTGCCTGCAATTTACATAAACATGTGGTATGATACCTTAAGTAAAAATAGTTTCCAGTGTTCTGGATTTTAATGTACTTATTAAATATCATGAAGAGGTTCTTAGATGAAACCAAAAGAAATGGTTCCATGACATCAACAGCGTCCAAAATCAATTGGCACCAGGATTTCTTTGGTCAAAGCTTTCATCGGCGCTTTTCAAATTCATCTCTCAACCACTCAGATTCTTGGTAGAATTTAGGGTCTCCCAGTTTAAGGGCTGTTCTTTTATAAAAATAATAATAGAGTATAGCACCTGCAATACAAAAAAAATAAAAAATAGTAGTTAAAGTTTTCATAAAATTTATTTACTTTTTGAAAAACATAATTACAAGTTAGATATTTCTTGCATTGAAAAGATAGATATGAGCAGAGTGAGAGATAGAAGATTAGATATGGAGAGAGTGAGTGAAAGAGAAATACACAGATATGAACAGGGTGAGAGAAAGAGAGAGATAAATACAAACATTAGAAATGAAAATTTTTTGCCAAGAACTGTATAAAAATGCTCCAAGGGTTATTGTTTGGTTGTAGATAATTTTGAAGTGGGGTTGTGTGTGGATAAATTACATAAATATGTAAATTTTGTCATAAAAAAAAAATGATGATCTTCATACAATACAATATCAGGGCCAGTGATAATTTTAAGCAAAAATGTAAGACAGAAATATGTACAAATTGTAAACAGATTCAGAATAAAAAGCTAGATAAAAAATTTGCTTATTGAAATTGTTCATCTATTAGTATGCAAAAATGCAGGAATGTATTAAAAAAAATATTTTTAAAAGACAAAATTTTGAGGTAAAATGCAACCTTAAATTTTGGATTTGGTTGTTAAGCAAAATATTTTTTTTGATGTTGGAGGAAATTTTCAACTTTGTACATAAAGAAGAAGAGCCATACTTTAATACAGAAAAAAAATTTCCAAGTCATAAAAAAAACAAACAGAAAAAAACACTGAATTTTCTTTTAAAAATACATCTTTATACCGTTGTGAACAATTTCTTTTTATTCAAATCAGCTAAACTGGACAGAAAGTTAAATTGAGGACATAACACTCTTGCACTCTATGTAAGAATGCAATAAATTCTATCAAATTCACAGTGGCAGATTGTTTGCATCTTGTACCAGTTAATATTTTCTGCACATTGGTGTTGCATATTCATTTCTTTCACTGAACAAGAGTAAGTCATTTTTCTACACTATCCTTTCCAGGGACTGAACACACAACTGCCAGGTAAGCAGATATATTTTAACCAAAGCTTTAATCCATTAGGCAATGTATCTCTTGATCAATCCAGTAGTGTAATTTTGGATTCTTAAACTTAATGTCTGTACTCAGGTAGTAAAACGTTTAATGTTCTTTCTTAACCAGAGATTGCTAGACCATGTTCATATCTATGTTAAGTCTACTGAGGAGGTGGTCAGAGCCAAGCATACATGCTGTTTCTCTTGTCTTATCCTCCAGGGTTGTTCTCTCTCTATTTTGACTTCATTCCACAGGGGCTGGTGAGCACACTTTTCCCTCCAAGCAGTAGTAGTAGATAGGTTCACCTATTGTCCAGCCCCAAATCCTCTCATGTCTATTGAACAGGAGAAGAGGTTCATCCTTTGTTTCCTGTTCAGGATATGGTTTACCAGTTCTCTTTCTTTCTTCTACCAGGGCCACAATGATTTAACTGTCTTAACTTTTTGGTGATCAGACTAACTAGTGGCTGTGGCTTTCCATTGTGAGGGTACTGGGTTGGCAGTTTGTTGGCTGCGTCTTCTGACTGCTTGTTAGGAGCTCAAACTCTTTGGTAGCACTAAGGGAGGATGCTCTAATCAACAGTTATATAATATTGGGGTATTTGGTGTGCCATATCACATATTGGTAGGTATCCCTGCATGTATTTCCCGTAGGCAATCCTGAGGCCATACTATGCACTGTTCTTAGCCATGCTCTGGCTGGTTTGTATTACCATTGATGACAGAGAAAAGGCAACCAAATTGTCACTTTCTCCTTAAAATGAATCTCATGGAAAAGACAACAAAAAGAAATACAACTAACCCAGTAAATAAAAAACCACCAACTCCCCTAAGTCTTTCTTTCACTAATATTTGTGGTATCCATTCTAACTTCTGCAGCATAGAATCTTTCCTCTTGGAACAGTTGCCAGATATCTTTGCCTTCTGTGAAACTAACTTAAATTCTTCCATTGCTACCAGTGAATCCTTGGTTCTGTGCTATCTTCCCCTTTGACTAAAAGATTCTAGCAATCATATGCAAGGCCTTGGTGTTTATATCCTGGAAAATCTTCTGATGGCCAGGAAATTGTCTCTTGAGTCCCCAAACTACTCATTCATCTGCTTCTGTCTTTCATTACTAAACTCTGTTAGCTATCTCTTTTCCTTTATCACTCCCCATCTTCTCAGGACTGCAGCATATTAGACATAAGAGTTGACACTATAGAAAAGGCACTTTCTCTCCATCCATCTGCAAACATCTTTATCTTTGGTGATTTTAATGCTAACCACAACATGTGGCTTATACATTCTAAAGGTACTGATGTTGCTGGTATACAGACATTAAACTTTTCCATTGCCCAATCCCTTATTCAAATCATGGACTTCCATACTCTTTTCTGTAGCAAAACTGAGCAACAGGCTTCTCTACTTGATTTATTTCTTACCTTCTCTCCTCGCTCTAGCCAAGCTTTGCAACACTGCCCTCTTGGTAATTCTGAATAAACTGTGGTAGCTATTGACATTTTGTTCCAAGCATCTATTAAACAGGAATCTCCTATCCACAAGGCCTCTTTCCATTACCAGCATGCTGATTGGGACTCAATATGTGATTTTCTTTGTGACACCCCTTGGATTGACATTTTCAACCTCCCTATTGAAAATTGCATCACTGATGCTTGTTCTTGGGTCAAAGCTGGTATGGATGCTTTCATCCCTTCTTGGAAATACCAGGTGAAACCTCAATCCTCTCCATGGTTCACATCAGCATGCTCGGCTGCTATAGCATATAGGAATGACTATTTTCAGCTATATGAGCGTAATGGCTCCTGTCACAAGAGGCACCTATTCATTGAGTCCACAGAGGAGCAAAGTCCCTGTTTGCTGAAGAGGTTATAAACACTTTTGATGAGAAGTTATATTTTCCTGGTATATTTGACATGCTAAAAATTTTGTGGAGTTGTATATATCCAAAGGGCATTAAATAAGTGTAAAGTCTCTATTCCTCCCCTCTTTAATCAATATGAGGTGTTATCATTCTCTGCTGATAAAGCTGAATACTTTGTAAATTCTTCTCAAACTCTACTCTTGACTCATCTGGACTATCTCAGCCTAACTTCCCTCCTAGAACTGAGTCTCTATTGAGTGATATGCATATAATCCCTTCCATGGTTTCTGCTATCATCTCTAACCTAAATCCCCACAAAGCATGTGGAACCGATAGCATCCCTGTAATAGTCCTTAAGAAGTGTGCTTATGAACTGTTCTTTCTCAACTGTATAATAAACAGCTTGCTGCCTCCTGCTTTCTTGTTTGCCCGAAGTTATCATCTGTTGTTCCAGTTTTTAAGAACTCTGGTGTACTGTCTGACACTTCCAACAATTGGCCTATTCGTCTTCTACCTCTTTTTGGGAAATTTCTAGAGGTTTTAATTAATGCTAAATTGGTTCATCATCACTCATTGCAGAGCCTTTTCTCAGACAAGCAATATGGTTTTCATTTCTCCAGGTCGATGATAATTGCAGAAAGAGTCTATCATACTTTAGATAAAAATGGTGAAGCCTGGGCTGTAGGCTTGGACATATCAAAATCTTTTGACAGGGTCTGGCATTCAGGTCTTCTCCACAAGCTGAAAATTTCCAGTGTCTATGGACACATATTTGAACTGATTCAGTCTTTTCTATCAAATTGTGAAATGAAAGTTATCCTGAATGGCCACTCATCTAAATACTTTTGAAGAGTAAGCGTTCTCAAAGCAAATTTGTGGCTTTCACAACACAAAGAAAGAAAATCACTTGTAACGCGTCAGGAAAATAACTCACGAACGCCGTAGCCAAAACTGCCCGAATTTTCCTTCCCCGAGTCGACAACACCAACTGCTTTTATCGGCAGAACCTATTTTTTCCATTCGTTGACAGCCGGGATAGGATGTCCGTAATTTGTATATTAATATACTCTTATAGCGACTCCTGCGACGGACTTGTTTCTTTTTCGTCACAGAATACACGCGACGACGCGCTGTCGCTTGGGTTGACGAGGTAAGTCGCTATAAGAGTTTTGCTGACTACTTTTTGGCAATCCCTCCCCGCAGATTGCACACAAAACACGAACTTTTTCCGGGTACTTGATTATCTCGTTCACTACACTCCCCCTGTCACATAAGTGACACTCATATGGGCCTCTTTATTCTTAAGCTTCTCCGGAGCGGGGCGACTGTTGGAGGAGATTGTATTATATTCTGAGGTTTCTTCTGATCTGACAACCTCATGCACAGAGTCTTCATCATCTGAAGAATGTTCTGAAGATTCTTCTTCTGAGGATTCTTCTGGTCTGACAACCTCACGCACAGAGTCTTCACCATCTGAAGAGGTGCTAGCCCTACCTCCGATGGTAATTATTTGTTCACTTTCTGAGCACTCACTGCTAGTGTCACTTGTTGACGTATTTGTACCTACATAGTGACGCAAGTCCTTTATGTGTCTTGGTATGCCATCAACCAGCACAGAACGCGAAAGTTACTTAGTCCAGTGACATGCCCCACCGTACCGGGTTGTACACCGCTATGTGGAGATTTCACCCCACACGCGATCGCCCAAGTCATACGGGCGCTCATTCATTTATCCGTTCAGTTGAAGCGTTGCGTCAATGCCTCGTAGCCGGACTTTGTACTGATAAATCATGTTGGCTGGCGCAGTTGAGGGCGATACATTATTGTCTCTCGGAGTAACATTGTACAAATACACCGCCTCCATTATGGAACACTGCTTCCTAGCAGCGATTCTTTTGATGCTCCGATGACATCGCCGATTATGCCATTCCCTGATGGGACATACGCGCAGCGAAAATCTGAGGTATACTTCCCACGAAGCCACAAAATCTTTTTGAATAGTCCACTGCGGAATGCAGTGTCGTTGTCAGTGAGGAGTTCCGTCGGAGGTCCATGTTCAAAGAACAATGACCTCAAGTTTCAATGACGCTTGCGGAATCCTGTCGACGCAGACGCCGCCAAATAGTGAACCATGTTGGGCCACAATCAATCAGGGTTAAATAGTGATGTCCGTTATAATGGGTGATGTCCATTCCAACACGGTGCCACACCTTGCTTACACTCACTTGTCCTTTTTGCCATTGCACAGGTGCTGGGTCGATGGACTGACACTTCTTGCATCCTCTGACCACTGCCCTGACAGCAGCTTTTGTACGTATCCTAGCCTTCCCCGTAAGAGTGTCTGATATCCACTTATACACGCATGCGGAATCCGTGAATAAATGCAATACCTTTGCATTCCATTGAAGGGCCGCGGTGACTCCCCTGATAACGGCGTCTAATTCTGACAGGTTGATATGTTGCGTATCCTTCTTGGGACGCAACCAACATGCATCTTCCACAACAGTGTCACCTACTTCAAGAGACACTCCTGTTGCAAGGGAACTCGTGTCGACCCAGGCGTTAAATTCACATCCGTCAACGCACCATTTACCATTCGGGTCGTCTTGACGACCTTTGTAATGACTTCCGCTATCATGTGTCTAAGGGGGGGGCATCATTTGTTGTGTCATCAGCCGGAAGTGACAACAGTCACCCCTACGTTTAATAAATGCAGTTGCAATGCGGATCCACCCGCCCACGGAAAATGTCCCACCAGCCTTCCACATAACGAAAACACGCTGCGTCGGGTCATGTGTTTGGGAATGTCCGGGAGCTCGCTTCCACGTTTCCAGTAAAGCATGTTGTGCTCCCCACAGACCTGCAAGCCAAGCACCAGAGCACCATCCTCCAGTCATTCTGGGTTTTTACATTCGGTGCCCGAATGCGTCAAGGAAGAATACCAGCGTGAATTGCAGGTGTGGCTGGATAACGGATGGCTGACTCCGTATCCCGAGGAAGAGCTTGGTCCTCCAAGAGGCCTCATCCCGTTGATGGCTGTGGTACAAAAGAACAATGGAAAGGTGCGCCCTGTACTAGATTATAGAGAACTGAACGAACATGTAGACACATACACAGCTCATGCTGATGTGTGTGCACAAAAATTGAGAGAATGGCGAACGAAGGAATCCAATGTCTCTGTGATTGACCTTCGAAAGGCCTACTTGCAGGTACGCGTGCACCGGTCACTGTGGCCATTTCAGATGGTGATCGTTAATGGGATGAGGTACTGCTTAACCCGAATGGGATTCGGACTCAATGTGGCGTCAGCCATCATGAAAGCCATTGTGGATGCTGTGCTATCCCAGGATGAGACAATTCGTCAAGCGACGTCAACCTACATTTACGACATCTACATCAACGAAACCTTAGTACCCGCTTCACAGGTGAGAAAGCATCTTGCTGACTTTGGGCTCGAATGTAAAAACCCAGAATGACTGGAGAATGGTGCTTGACTTGCAGGTCTGGGGGGAGTACAACATGCTTTACTGGAAACGTGGAAGCGAGCTCCTGGACATTCCCAAACACATGACCCGACGCAGCGTGTTTTCATTATGTGGAAAGCTGGTGGGACATTTTCCGATGGTATGGTGGATCCACATTGCAACTGCATTTATTAAATGTGGGGTGACTGCTGTCACTTCCGGCTGGGATGACAACAAATGATGCCCCACTTAGACACATGATAGCGGAAGTCATTACTAGGGTGCGTCAAGACGACCCCGTACGTGGTAAATGGTGCGTTGACGGATGTGAATTTAACGTCTGGGTCGATGCGAGCTCCCTTGCAACAGGAGTGTCTCTTGAAGTAGGTGACACTGTCGTGGAAGATGCGTGTTGGTTGCAAATTAATATACTCTTATAGCGACTCCTGCGACGGACTTGTTTCTTTTTCGTCACAGAATACACTTGACGACGCGCTGTTGCTTGGGTTGACGAGGTAAGTTGCTATAAGTGCTTTGCTGACTACTTTTTGGCAATCCCTCCCCGGCAGATCGCACACAAAACACAAACTTTTTTCCGGGGTACTTGATTATCTCGTTCACTACAACTTTCATACTAATGCAGGTGTCCCCCCACCCAGAGGTTCATCCTTGGTCCTACTCTGTTTTTAATTTTCATTAATAACCTTCCTGATGATATCAACTTAGTATGGCTTAGTCCAACAGGATCAGAATGGCAGCTAATGTCCAAAATGACTTCAAGTCTGTCATTAACTGGCACAAAAGATGGCTTGTTAATTTTAATGTCTCCAAAACTAAACTTCTCTCCATTAATCCCCTTCCTGCCTTCTGTCAGCATGGCTAATGCTAATTTCCAGGAAAGTGACCCATTATGCTTTCTCGAGGTCAGATTCTCTGCTAACATGAAGTGGAAAGACTATATTGAATCCATTGTTAGGTCAGCTGCTAAAAAAGTCAGTTCACTGTGTTGGGCGAGACAATTTTTCTTTCCAGAATCTATCTTACATATCTATAAGTCTACCATTCATTTATGCTTAGAATATTACTGCCACATATGGTCCAGTGCCTCTGCTATTTGCCTTGAGCACCTTGATAAAATCCAAAGAAGAATCAGTAGTATTACTGGTCCTGATCTGGCAGCTCACCTTAGTCATTTTTCCAACACCATAAAGTTGCCTCTCTATGTCTTCACTATGGTACCCAGACTTTTTGAATTTAAGTGCAATCCTAGACTGGCATCAAGATCTCATCAATATACAGTTTAACTGGCTAGAAGACGCTGTAAAGTCTATGCTAACAGTTTCTTCTCTCACACTTCTCATTTGTGGAAGTCCCTTCTGGGTCCATGCTTTCCAGCCAATTTTAATCTGCAAAAATTTAAATGCAATGTCAATCACTATCTACTGTCCTCCTGATTACTCTTCTCTTTCTGCTCATCATTATTGTTTCTGTTTCTAATTCTTCCACACCCTGTAACCCCTTGTGTTTTAGTGGCATTACTGTTTTGCATGATTGTGATACCAATTTAAAAAAAAAAAAAAAGAAAAAAAAAAACAGGATCAGTCTGATTTTAAGGTCTTTAATCTGAAAACAGCTTTTTAATGTTCCTCCACCCTTACTTTTAGGAAACAATTATTTTCCTTGTATTCTTTGCTACAACTGGATAGGATGAAATACATACAATTCTTAGTCATATTTTCTTCTGAGGGAGAGCTTGAATTGAGAGAGATATCTGTAAAAATGCTTTTGAATGTTGAATGGATGTTGTATTTATTTGAATCTCTTCAGATATACTCCTTATATATAGTAGATATACTGTGACAGATTTTTTGGTTGTTGTCCTTGGCTCTTCTAGATAGACTAATATAGAAACTAGTGTGTAAAAGAGATATTTTTTTTTACACACACACGCACAGAAGAGGAGAACAATAAATACTTACTACATCGTTGAAATATATACAATATTTGTATTCCCTTGACATCCCATATATATGCTTGAGGGTTATCCCACCGTAGTTTCTACAAGATAGAATTAAGAAATATAAATAAACTTGAGTGAAAATGAAAAAAAAAAAAACAAACAAATTTTCTATATTTTAATTTGGTACAAATCATCAAATTAATAAAATAATTAATTTCAATTATATGAATATTTTAAAAGAAAATCTCTGAAGAAAATGGTGATTACCCAAAATGTCTTTTGACATCAATAGAGAATACTCTATTCTATTTGCATATCAATGAAAAAGCCAAATGAAATAGTCTCAAGTTTCTTATTTATATTTCATCAAAAGTTGAAATTTATGCACATTAAGAACATGAAATAAAGCAAAAATTCATAATAGAGAAGACCAATGTGAAACTCTCCTTTTTCTCTTTCTCTCTCACACACACACACACACACACACACACACATATATATATATATAATTATTTTTTTAAAAATATGATTCCTTTGCTACATAAGAGTTCTCATGTTTCAAAAATGAGAGCTGAAACCATCAATATAATTATTAAAATTAAACTGAATTAAAGTAACAAGCCCTGTTTCATCCTCAAGCGAAAATTTAGGAATAACCAATTTTGAAATTTACGTATCGTTATAAAGCGTGTTCATTCGTTACTATGTAAACGGCTGGGGCGACCATTTTTATCCACATATCAGTTACCTTTAGGGAGGGGTCAAGCTGAGGTAGGGTGGGGTGTCTATTTCAAAGCGAATAATGTCTTTCTTGTACGTGCATCATCTGTTCATTCACAGAGAAAGATAGATTTTGGCACCATAGTAACATAGTAGAATCAGACCTTAAACAATAAAAAAAACATGAAATCAAATTTCATAGTTTAATAAAGGGCTAAAAAGCTTAACCCAATCATTAAAGGGAAAAACCCTTTATGGAGTTGTCAAAAAAACATTGTAGTTCAGTGCGGTGCATTTATATCAGGTCATCCCATAAGTTTTGTCCGAATTTTAACTTTTTGTTAAAATGAACGAAATTTAAAGAGTATTTTATAATGTCTAATGGAGCTGAACATTATTTTTATGTTTAGATTCATTTAAACTGATCAAATTTTATTTTAGAGAACAATAAAATTAAATTTTGTTTGATTAAAACCCTGCTAACATGGAAGAACCCAAGAATCATTTGAGGCACATAATGCTTTATGAGTTCAAGAAAGAAAATTCAGCAGCCAAAGTGGCTAGAAACATTCACTCAGTTTATGGAGAGGAATGTGTGAATGAAAGAACTTGCAGAAGATGGTTTGCAAAATTCAGAGGGGGAGATTTCACCCTTGAAGATGAAGATCGAACCGGACGTCCAGTTGAGTTTGATGAAAAGCTTCTTGAAGCAGCCCTTGAAGAAAATCCTACTTTATCAGTTGAGGAATTGGCAGTGATACTCAGTTCCAACCATACAACTGTTCGTCATCTTCAACAACTTGGAAAAGTTCCTAAACTTGGAAAATGGGTGCCTCATGAATTGTCTGAAAACAACCTCAAATCCCCAGTTGACATCTGCTCTTCTCTCCATTCTCACCAACTTGTTTCACCTTTTTTGGATAGATTTGTGACTGGTGACGAAAAATGGATCTTTTATCGAAATATTAAGCGTCGTAGACAGTGGCTTGGTAAAGGGGAAGGACCCCAGCCACAGCCGAGAAGGGAACTTCATGGGCAAAAGGTTCTTCTTTCAATCTGGTGGGATCACCAAGGAATAATCCACTTTGAATTCTTACCACCTAATGCAACAATTAATGCTCAAATATACTGTCAGCAATTAGAGTGTTTGAACCAAGCTTTGAGGAAAAAAGACCTGCTCTAGTGAATCGACAAGAGGTGATGTTTCATCAGGACAATGGGCGACCCCACACAGCAAGAATCACGTCACAAAAGATTGAAGAACTTGGTTGGGAGAAAATTCCTCATCCACCTTATTCTCCCAATCTTGCTCCTTCAGACTATCATTTGTTTCGTACCTTACAGAATCATTTGGAAGAAACAGCTTTTGTAACACAGGAAGAGGTTAAAACTGACATTTGTGTGTTCTTCGAATCAAAGCCAAAAGAATTTTACAGTAATGGAATTAGTAAGCTTGTTAATAGATGGAAGGAAGTCATAGATAATCAGGGAAAATACATCGTTGATTGAATCTGTAATTAAATGTAACATTTGGTCACTTGTTTTCTTTATTCAAAATTCGGACAGAACTTATGGCATGACCTGATATATGAAACAGCCCATTGAAAATAAATAAATAAACAAAATTATCCAGACACTTAACAACATACTATGGCGCCAAAATCTATCTTTCTCTGTGAATGAACAGATGATGCACGTACAAGAAAGACATTATTCGCTTTGAAATAGACACCCCACCCTACCTCAGCTTGACCCCTCCCTAAAGGTAACTGATATGTGGATAAAAATGGTTGCCCCAGCCGTTTACATAGTAACGAATGAACACGCTTTATAACGATACGTAAATTTCAAAATTGGTTATTCCTAAATTTTCGCTTGAGGATGAAACAGGGCTTGTTACTTTAATTCAGTTTAATTTTAATAATTATATTGATGGTTTCGGCTCTCATTTTTGAAACATGAGAACTCTTATGTAGCAAAGGAATCATATTTTAAAAAAAATAATTATATATATATGTGTGTGTGTGTGTGTGTGTGTGTGTGTGTGAGAGAAAGAGAAAAAAGAGAGTTTCACATTGGTCTTCTCTATTATGAATTTTTGCTTTATTTCATGTTCTTAATGTGCATAAATTTCAACTTTTGAAACATGAGAACTCTTATGAAGCGAAGGAATCATATTTAAAAAAAAAAATTATAATCTAAGTTCTACTTCTGTATGGAGCACTGTTTTTTAAAATAAAAATACTAAAGAACCCTGGATTATTTACCTAATGTGTTCTTTCCTATTTTTCTACATACCTGCACACACACACACATTATATATATATATATATATGAAATAGACAAAATTCAATAATTATTTTAAGATATTTTAAGAATGTATAAACATAAAATATATATATATATATATATATATATATATATATATATATATATATATATATATATACCTACATGCACACAAAGGATACTGAGAGGTGTTTGGTAAGATCTACAAAAATTTGAATGACTGACCAATCCTCAGAATTATTTTGGAATTCACTTTTAGTTTTAGCATACATACCCTGATGCATGTGTGGTGTGTGCATATATATATATATATAAAGACAAAAGTATAACTAATCTTAGTTGATACATTTCGGCCTCTGATGGAAGTTATCAAGGCAAATGCAATGATTTTAACTTGCAATAAGTATTTATATAGAGAAGTAAATGCTAGTTTTTCAGAATTTTTACATTTAAGAACTGAAAGTCAAATTTTTTTTCAAAAAAAGAAACATTTTTTAAATATTCATATTTTCTTTCCTAAAAGAAATACTCCTTTCCCAAGCCAGTATACGTGACTATAAAAATTTTTTAAAATTAAAAGAAAATGCTTAAATATGAAGCCTTCCTTATTTAAAATACATAATACATAAATTAATTTCTCAAAGTGAAATAATATAGTAATTATATTATAAAAAAACCAAAATCCAACATTTACTCACTTTTGTTTAATAGAGAGTAAATTACATCATTTAGCATTCTCCATAGTTTACCTTGACTTTCAGTTAGTCTGAAATATATTTATGAGTCTTCTTAAAAACTAACAAGATTTTTACTTCTGTATATAAATACTTGTTGCAAAATAAAACCTTATATTTGTTTTGATAAAGTCCATCAGAGGTTGAAATGCATTGGCTAAGATAAGTTTGCTTTCTGTCTTTTTTCAGATTGTCATTTAACAGATATATTTTATATATATTTATTATTTTATGTATGTGCCTATCTATTATGCTTTTGAGAGTTGTTTCATCATGTTTGTAATTATTATGCATTTGGTTACAATAGTACAAGTTAATAGTATTATGTTTATTTTGACTTACACTATTATTATTATTCTTATCAATTTTTTTAGAAGTTTATTGAAATACATTTTAATTTGTTGATCAATGACAGAATTAGAGAATCCATTATTAACAAGTCTTTGTTTAATTTCATGTAATTCTTTACAGAATATGGTTTTGAAAGAAGATATCATTTGTGTGCATTGGATTAAGTTTTCTATAATGGCTAACTTATATCGTTGGGGGCATCAATATTATAAAATGCTAGTGGGTTTCCTATATAGAGAAGTAGTAAATTTATGTGCACTGGAATCAATAAGTACATCAAGGAATGGAATTTTATTATTAATATTAAGTTCCAGTGTAAATTGGAGGATGGAGTGACTTTCAAATTTGTTTTTAAGTTGTGTAATTTGATCAATATTTTTACTTTATAAATATTGATCAAATTGCACAACTTAAAAACAAATTTTAAAGTCACTCTGTCCTCAAAATATATAACCACTCTGAAGATGGCTCATGTGAGCCAAAAGCTTAGATCAATGAACAGCATAATAAAAAAATATCCAAATGTTGGACAAGCTTTGTCTTTATTTTCTTCTGAAATGCAACTACACAAAGTTTAGAACGGTTCATAATTAAACATAAGACATTTGTTGTCTGTTATATTTAACAATATATGTTTGAATGTGTGTGTGTGTGTATATATATATATATATATATATATATATATATATATATATATATACAATTTACAATTGGAATTACGATATCTTTAGTAAATGATCATTTTTACCTATGAATTTTAATTTTAAAATTCCTAGGATTTTTCAAACTGTTTCTGGTATCGGTTTGTAGTTTTTATTTTGAGAAAGAAAGAGAGAGGGTATGTAATTGGGTAGCTATTGGGAGGTGAGATGGGGAAGAATGGTCATTTACTAAAGGTATTGTAATTCCAAATGTAAAGTAAACTTACTCTGTTTATTGTGAATAAACATAGAGCTCTCTTTTGGGAGTCAGTTTTAACATATTTGAACATATTTCAAATTCTAAGCTGTGTTAATAGGACTCGCTTGGATTATACCAATGAATTACTACTTTATATATACATATATATATACACACACACATACATCCACACACACACACACACACAGACATCTATTGTGAATAATAAAATAATACATATAATCTTACATTTTAAGTTTAAGTTAATAACAATAATGACATTTTGCTTATTAGAGATAAATATTAATGTTAATTTCTGAACATTTCCCTATTCTCATGATGGAAAGAAAATTTGTGTGTATTAAGAATGTTAACTCACCAGAGCCCATCCATGCAGAGTCACACAAAGAACAAGATAGACAAATGTGACAGTAATTGATACTCGGAACTTTTTGACTAAAATGCTGACCAAACCAGCTTGGAAGATGTATGTGTAGAAAAACAGGAGGAACACCACAATCAGAGCAAATACAATGCCAATGGCTTGCAGTCTTTAAAGAGAGAGAGAAAAAGAAATCAGACAGATTATTTTGATAGTTACATCCTGAGAATTTTGTCAGGGCAGAGTATTAAGAATTTGAAATTATCCCATGAAAATAATTTTGAGCAAAAAATAAAAACAGCAGTAAAATTGGTTGAGATGGATCCCTAGTATCCAAGAAAATCCTTTTGTGATCCATAAAACAAACCTCATGTCAATATGACTGGCACATAGTCATCTTTTTACAATATAAATGATTACAAATAGAAATAATTTTTCAGATTTCAAAAATTTATTTCATAATAAATCTGCTAATTTTAATTCATCTGAATACAAATTAGATTATGTCAAAATTTCAAAGGTAAACATAAAAAGTAAAAAATAGACTTTTAAGGTCTTTGTGAACTGGATCATTTAATCCAAATTGAAAAAATATCTGGACTTTGCAACACATAAAAACAAAATGGAAGCTAATTATTGCACTTTGTTATATTTCCAATCAGTTCCAATTTTTTTAAATGAGACAAGACATTATGAGCTACAGTTTTAGAGTTAGTGTACAGAAATCTTTCATTGTATCAATTGTCTAATGAATTCACATTGCTTAACTCAAGTAAGAAATATATCTTAGTTTATAATAAAATAATTATATTAAAATTAATATGAATGAAATTATCAATTTATATTAAAATTACGAAAGTTAAAAATAATTAAAAATACATGATTATTTCAAACTGTAGATAATAAATATAAAATAGTTCCACTGAAAACAATTAAATTTTTTATTGAAAATTTAAGTCAAAATATTTTTATGTTGTCAGTAACAACCAATGGTCTTTTTAAAATACTTTTTTTTAAAATCATCTGCAACACAAAAGTCAGAATGTGTAAACTTATTGATGAATAGTAGAGGAGTTTAATTTCCAGATGTTATTATAGTTTCCATTAAATTTCTAAAACTGACATTGAGTTTTAAAATCAAATGTGAAAAAAGAGAAAGAAACAAAAGTTATAGAGAAGCAAAATACAAATCACTTACATATAGACGATGAGTAAAACAACATTTTCCATGCGAAGTAATTCTACTGATATATTAAAAAAAAAGTCAGCAACCAATAAAACATATTGCAGGAACAGAATTGCTTTGTATCTTGTCAGTAACATGGCTGCATAAAATCTAAAAATAGAAAAGATTGAATGCAAAATAAATGACATGAAATGATTCAAGTAGCAGTTCTTTAGTTGCCATAAGGTCATTATTTTGTTTTTCCAATCAGTCTTTGTATTATAATCATTGAAACACAAAATAGTCATCAGTTATTTGAGACAAAAGAAAGTAGTTAGCATGTTGCAGATTTGAACAGAAAAAATCCATACTAGAGAATGGGAAAAGGCTTATGCTAAGCATAAGAACATGACCAGAGGCAGTGTCATTATAAAAAAAAAAAACCCTATACAGAGAGCAAGAACAGAAAAAAAATGAAGAGGAAGAATGTATGTTAATCCTGTTGACTTCTCTGTGGAGTATGCAGCCACAGCCTTTAGGTGTTGCTGCTGTAATTTATATAGCAAGTAGATTTTTAAGGGTTAGATTTGCTAGTCCCAAACCCAAACAGTTTTTAATTCAAAGTTGTCCTTCTCCTAGACTGGTTGACTATCAAGGTTAGAGAGTGTAGTCTGCCTTGCTATTAACTCATAGCTAGTGGGAGAAGAGATAAATTTATGCTTTTCTCAAGTGAAATTGTGTAAAAGTGAATGCAACAGCCTTAGCTGGAATTTGAAATTGACATACCAATCCTACTTTCTATGCCAATAATAGCTAAAATACATATGCATGTCTTAATATGAAATGAGCAGAAAAAATAAATTAGAAATAATCATGCCATTCTTTCGCAATTCAAACATTCAAACATTACTTGAAATTTTTTATAAGTCTTTCAAGAAACTTAAAGCGTCTGTAAAGGTGGGGGAAGCTTTTATAAAGAGATGAAATTAAAGGGCGAACAGAAAACTTTGGATATTTGAATCAAATAGTTGAAAATTGATATGTATCTTATAAAATACATCACATTTTCTTTTTGAAGTCATATTACATTTCTTGTTTTTAATTAAAAATAAATATTACAATAGTAAAAATAGCCCCATTGATTTATTTTTAACCTCTTCAAGGATAATTTTTATAATCAAATTGGAGGACAATTATCTTTTTTTTACTTTATATATGAAAAAGAAAAGAGAGACCAACAAGAAAATCTGAATTTTAACATTGATCACATTTAAACAATCAAAAGAGACATTATTATCTGATCAATGACTTAAAGGCTTTCTTTGTAGGTCTACCCTCAATTTGTTGCATATATATATCTTCAAATTCCTGTAAAATACTCAGTATTATACAGACTACAGATAAGAAACATCAAATCCATCAAATACTGAGTTACTGCACCTTAAAAGACAAGATGAGTTGCACCTTAACTCACTCATCACCTTTTCTGCACATTACTTTTATGATTGCATTAATAAAAACTCAGTAGTACACTGCCAACCAATCTTCAGATATAGCACAACAAGCGACAAATCCGATTACTATCTGTCTATATTATGTACACTATTTACATTGTTCAGACTACCATCCTCATGTTTGTTGCGACATTTATCACATTCGGCCATGGTCAGAATGTCAAACTGAACCCTTTATTTCACTTGCTGGGGTAAACTGTTCTACATGCCATGTCTAATGGATGTCAATTATCAGTTATCTCCTGTTAATTCCCCTCTCCAAGTTCTTGTCACTGGATCTAACTAACGCCTTTATCCACTGTGCCATGTGTCCTTGTGGACAACTGTGTATGAATTTCTGGGTATTATAAACCTAATGTCTTCAGTAACCATTTTTCCAGAGCTCATATTGCAATTTTTGTTGTTATTATTGCTTTTCTCTGGCACTCCTTATTACTGGTTCCCATATTGTATTCATTTCTATGCTTTGTCGGCTCAGAAGATTTTTGTAGCCTAGCATGTGCTGATTCCCTAAGTTTACAAATTTTCCAATGATGTTCTTTGTCTATGATTTTAACCTGATCCCACAGAGGGTGGTGATTTCCCTTTTCTCTCCATATGTGGCCAGCCACGCCTGATTTTTCCACTTCCCCTCGTGTTACAGCTTTTTGGTGTTCTTGAAGCCTTACTTTAAGGAGGTGGCTTGTCTCCCCTTTATATTTCTTTCCACAGCTGCACAGGATGGCATACACACAGTCTTTAGTCATGTTCTCCCCTATGGTGGGGTCTTACTTGGGAGAGGTATCTGCAAATTGTCGTCCAGCTTTTGAAGATTGTCCTGATCTTATATGAACTGCAGATCCTTTGTATTTTCTTTGATAACGCCTTCGCATAAGGCAGGCAGACTTTTTTGAGTGTTGTTGTCCTCCTCTTGTACCCACCTATCCCATTTTACTGAGGCTGCTGCCATGTACTCGATTACTCATCAAAATTACTACATGCAAATTCTTTTGTTTTTTTTTTCAACACAGAAGAAATTCTGAACATATCTGACTAAATCTTTTTCTGTACAGCATATTTCTTTCCAAATTCCAAGAAATGTTCTTTATTCAATATGCTATTATGAATTTGTGAGCTATATAACAATTAAACTGGCCTTGTGCCACATCCTGCTCTGTGGGGAGCTCAGGTAAATACTGAGCATCCCAAACCTCTGGGTCTGACAATACTCAGCTTGTCAAAATCTTTGCCTTTGGGCAGGAAGGAACCCAGACAAGGCCATGCCAAAGGGCAGAGTCTCACCTGGGCAGGTAGACAGTTACCGACTGTGTATATATAATGTCTTCAGGGAATTTCTGCCTGGGCATACAGGCTTAAATTGCCCCATGTAAAATAACCAGTCTTGTTCCTCATCCCACTTTGTTGGGAGGATTGGGTAAATAACGAGTATCCCAAATATCTGAGTTAGAGATACACTGCTGGTTGACTTCTCTGCTTTCAGGCAGAGAAGAACCCAGATGAGGCTATGCTGAAGGGCAGAGTCTTGTCTGGGGAGGTAGACAGATACCCAACCCCGTTATTACAGGGTTGTCAGGGAAGGTAGTGTTGGACCACTTGGCTGAGGCCAGGAAAGCATTCTCCAAGGATGTGAGCACATTGTTGAGAAAGAGCAAGGATGGTAGGCGGGATTTAGATGACTATAAGCTCATAACTCTGCTGACCACAGTTACAGATTTTGGTGAAGATCCAAACAGTATTTGCAGTCAGTTGCCGAGATTCTGCTGTAAAGGAGTGAACAATTCAGAGCAACCTGCATCTGTCCCACACGAAGATGAAGAAGCCATGCTGATCAATTTGGTTCAGTCCAAGACATTCGATATGGTCAAACATCAGAATCTGGCTGCTGTCCTGCAGGCTGCTGGATTCAAATCTGACTTATGCAAGTGGATCAGTCTCCTGTATTGCTCCTCAGTGCTGTGGTGCAGGTGAACAGGGAGCAGTCACACGCTTTTCGTTGGCTTGTCAGTGATCAAGTTATTCTCTTTTTGGTCTTGGGTGTCAGCGGCAGAATAACTCAGCAACCTCAAATTTTTGCTACTACAGAACAGACTATCTCCCAATGATGTAGCCTTCAGATGAACTGGGCAGATTTGCCTGACTCTTACTGGTGTTACCTTGGCCTAGAGGAAATGGCTTTGCATGCATTCTACCATTGTCCTCAGGTGTGCTGTTCTGGGACTATGTTAGTGAGTTGATGGCTTGTATTGATCCTAAACAGCTTGTGTCCATTGTTCTTGCATACGTATGCAATAATGTGTTGCCCCAATTCTCTGTGGTGAAACAAATTGTATTTCGCACGTAGCTAACTATGGTGATATGGCCATAGTGAATGGAGGGAATCAAATACGAATGCTTTTCTCATCAGGTTCTGACCACATTCTTTTGGCATTAGCTCGAGATGAAGATCTAAATGGATAGAAAGTGTTTGTTATTGACAGATTTCAACAAAAAATGGGTAAAAGTGGAGAGTTTGCTTTGAGTGAATGGAGTCAGCTTTGATTTTCTTTTTTAAGTTCCCTTTGATGCAATGGCTCAGTTTCCTATGAACCCTCACCTGGTTAAGTTACACACTGTTTGTTTACCTAGTTAATGTGAATAAATGTTGTTCCTGGCTCTCTATATTGAGATTCCAATTTCCTCAGTTTGTTTTTGTCCCTCTTTTTCATCTCAACTGTGTCAGCCATTGTTTTTTTCCCCACACCGTCATTTATTTATTTTTTATCCTTCCCTCTCCATTGGTGAGTGTACAACTTGATTCTGTCCAAGGCAGAATACAGTGGACACTTATTATTTTTGTGGTGTGGTTGGGTCTTACTAACATATGTTATGTTTTGAATGTTTTATGCTCTACTTTCGTTTTCTGGGTTTCAACTCCTCATTACATGAGCATATATTTTTATATATTAAAAAAAAAAAAAATTAGAAAAAAGAGACATTTGTTTGTACATAATCAAATTTTTATATCATGGTATTTTTTTGTACGTTCCCTGTGAATTTGTCGTATATGTAATATTGAATGATAAGGGAAGAGTTTTTGTGGCAAATTATAAAGAATGAATGGTTCGTGAATCTGATTAGCTAAGTCTAGGATAGCAAGTGTCGACCAGCCTTATCCCACCTGCTCTTTAGCCTTGTACTACAATTGTTTCAATTGAAGCAATAAATTATATCAAAGTTCTCTATTTTTGGGCAGAGAGGAACTCAAATGAGGCTATGCCTACGGGCAGAGTCCCATCTGGGGAAAAACAAACAGTCATTCAACCCCATATATGCAAGATATATTGGGATTTTTGCCCATGCATACATGCTTGGAATGCTCCATGTTAAACCGACCTTGTTCCACATCCCGCTTTGTGGGGAGATTGGGTAAATACTGAGTGATTCTATAAAATTGCTAAAAAAAGAGCATAGCATGATGAAAAAGATGCCAAACTTGACAGAAACAAAATTTTATTGTCAAAATGTTTATGTTATTATTAAGAAGAAAGAACAAAGTATTTTTTAATTATTTAAAAAATTTTTTTTCTTCTTTTTAGAGTATTCTAACTTTCAATTAAAAAAACCTTGTTTCTCTTTGTATCAGTGGAACTTCTAAATGACATAAAATTTTAGTGCGTTTTTTTGTATGACAGATATTAATTTAGAAAATCTTGCAAAAATAAAAATAATTGTTGGATTTTAATGAAACTTTCAGAAACTATTCACAAATAATGGAAATTACTATATGTTTTCCTTTTTTAAAGTCATGGCAAAGGTATATCTATTACCACCCCCAACTAATTTTATGAAAACTCTAGAAATTCATTACTGTACAATTTAGTGATTATATTAGTTAAAAGTACAAGGCTTTGAGGAAAGTAAATCATGTTTTTTTTTTTAATCAGACCACTTTACCTGAAAATCAGGTCTGAATTGTAACATACAAAACTCAATAATACAAAGATATTATTTATTTTCAAATACTTTTAGATGTTTTAATGAATATGGATAATATTGTCTGAAAGCAAAAACATTTATTGATGAAAAATGAATTTTTAAAACAATTATTTGTTATTTCTTAAATTATTTTTATTTTATTATTTTTACATTAAAGTTGTTAAATATTCTAAAATTATTGAAAATGGTGTACAGTTTAGTCAATGGTGTTATTAAGTAGATCTATCTTTACAGATTATAAATTGTAAAGCTTATTACAATCAATAGACCACCAGTGTATTAAAAATCCAATTTTGCATGGCTTCTGTGTCATAAAACGGCTGTAATTCAAATATATGGAAGACCATAGATGAAAACAATAAAACCTCACATTATTTGAGTTACTTAATAAGTGATGTTCCCCTCTGTTATGGCCTGTATTTTTACCAATTTTTTGTGTGAAACACACACGGAGAAGTGAATTTTATTTTTCAAGTTCAACTGAGAAGGGTACCTACAAGTATTAGGTACCTATGATATGAAATTTATATGATCTTATTTTTATATTATCTCAGTTATGACATTTTTCCATAAATGAAATGAATAGAAATACAAATAACATAAAGTGTAATAAATGTACATAAAATTATAGTATTTTATTACTGATAAAATTTCATAAGAAAGCTATCTAGAACAATTCTACTACAATACTACATTAAGTATCAGGAAAAAGTTAATTTTAGTAACTTTTTAAACTCTTTTCAATATTACAAAAATTGAACCTTTTGAAAATGTCACATTCTCATATATAAAACTTTTCCAAATATTGAATCAAAGAAGCAATGATTGAAGGTCGGGATGAGTTCTTTTTTAAATTTTTTACGATTGCTTTTTAAATTTATTTTTTAAAATTTTTATTTAAAACTGCTTCAGGCTAAAGAAAAAAAATAGTTTACTTGATGTACATTTAAACATTGTTGTGTGCGTTCAGGTTTCCTCAATTTTGACAAATTTATCATTCAACTTTTAACATTTGTGATTTTTATTTTTAAAGTAATCCAAAGTTTCCAAAGTGACACAGAATAAGATTTCACCGGTGCAAATAATCTTAACTTTAAAAAATCTTATAAATCGATGCAAGAGATATTATATCAAAAATGGCTTTTCAAATATCAAGAATCCGTCTTTTGAAAATCAAACGATTTTAAAGTAAAAAAATTGTAAATTATGACAAAAAAAAAAAAAAGATGATTGATGACTGTTTCTCGAAAGTGGTAATTGCTTATTATTACATAAAAACTAAAACATAAGTTTGATTGATCTATCTCCTCTCTAGGTATTTCGTAAGCTATCCGTTTGTTCAAAACTTTGTCAGATTGACTTACCTACAGGCACAAAGCTGCTATTCAACTTTAGTTTCAAAGCCCAAACTTTTCAACCAACAGATTTGCTCTCCATATTGTTTACAGTAACAACATAGCTACGGTGTCAACTAAAAAAAGTTCCTCGTTTACATATTTCTAAATAAGACCGATAAAATAAAACGTGACGTTAATCATATCGAACACGAACAATACTGAAAAAAGTGAAATATTGAGATATTATTTATTGTTTTTTATTTATTTTTGAAGAAATATTTTGTATATGGCATTTTTTATGAAAATATATCCAAGGGGAATTACACCGTAATTAGCACGTGACCAAACATGGTCGCATTAAGGCGCGAAGAGGGAACGTGAAAAACTGCCGTCCTTTTCTGTATTTAACTTTTTTTTTTCACAACAAAGTTCCAATACTTTTATTAAGGAGTACCCCCAAGATTGCAATCTCTTTACTGAGAACATCGAGGTGAGCAAATAATTCTACTCAATGCGTAGTTTTCTCTCTAAAAAATAGTTTAGTTATTTTTGTTTCAACAATATTGTTTTTGTGTTAAAAAAATAAACATTAGATTCCTTCACAAAAAAGTTGTAAAAATAAAGTGAGTTGTATCGTCTAAATAATAACAACAACAATGAGCTGCTATAAAAATGAATTTTAGTTTTTTGATGTTTATGGAGGCACGTTAAGGAAAATCTAAATTCTAAATTGAATGCGTCATTTACAAAATATTTTTTGTAGCAATAAGGCGAAATTTAAAAAAGAGTTTATAATTTTTATGGTGATCATTTGTCATTTTATTTTATTTTTATTTAATTTTTTTAAAAATATGTTTAAAATTTACATAAAAAAAACGATAATTATTTTTGCTCGATTTTTTTTTTAACGACCTATTCACCGTTTTTTTTTTTTTTTTTATCAGATTTAAACGTATGATTCGATTCAAATTTAAATATATAATTTAAATTTTAAATTATATATTTACAAAATACTTTTATTTTGTAATCGAATCATACTTTTATTTTTAAATTTTAAAATAATTTGTTGACGACCGTTTGATTGAACTTGTCTATTTTCATTTCCCATATAATATTTATTTATTGACATGATTTGTTTGGCTGTAACGAGGCGGAGGAAAGATCTCATTATTTTTTTTTTATTTATTCTTACCTTAAACCATAAGATGTTATTTTTTCATTGCACGATTTCGATTAAGCTAACCAAAATTTAAATTTGAAATATGATGGAGTAAATAAAGTTGGCCAAAAATAAATAAAATTTACAATCAATTGTCTTTAGTTTATTCCTTATATTTTTCTTTATTCTTTGCGTATTTCGCTCCTCTCTGTCATCAGTCTCTCACCACTTAATGTGCAAGTCTGTTCCGGTAAAAAGATGAATCATGAACATTAACAGTTTACTTTAAAAACACAACCTACTCCTTGGTATCATAGATTTTCAAGTATCCTAGTGTGTGTGTATGTGTGTGAGAGAGAGACTGAGACCGATTTCTCAGAAGTTCTTTGGTTTGAAGCGGTTTTTATTTCTTTTGTTTGACTGTTGAGTTCCAAAAACCAACCCCGTTTGAAAACTTCGGATCTTTTTTTGAAACTTCAGTTTGTCTTCTCTTTAATAATAATAAAAATATGTATTTGGAAAATTAAAAATTATTTTTAGGTTAACTAAAAAAAAACTATAATGTAATTGGAAAAAGTTATTTTCATTTTTTGTCGTTTTTAACTGGTTTTATTATAAAGACTTTTTAAAGACAAAAAGATTATAAACTTCAAAGTTCAAAATTATTAACTTTTCTTTTCTGAAAACGACATTATTTGGTTATCGATTATTTATGGAATGATTAATAAAATAAAATAAAAGTAATGTATTCATTTAATTTTTCCAAAATAGTGAGAACTGAGATCAGTAGTTCTGTTAAAACTTTGGTACATTTTCATTTTTTAACCATGTATTCATCAATTATTGGATACCGAGAATTTTAAAACTCTTATATCGATGAGAACGTTAAAATAAGTAAAAGTTCCTGTTAATTTACAGAATTAAAAAAAAAGTTTTTTATTCTAAAAAAAAAATTAGGTACTTTCTTTTTAAAGTAAATGATCATCAATCTAATTCAGCGCACTTTCTGTTCATCAGTGAGATAAGTCATCTTTTTCAAAAAGTCACTCGTTATGTAGAACTTGATTTTTCTACTTCACTGCACGCACTTTTAGTTAAACGTTTCGTTATTAAATTTTGTCGGGACAGTTTAGGAATAATATGCAGGGTTCATAATAACTTTCAATTTTCTTATAATTGCGCTACCTACACTGCTTGTATTTTTTTCTTCAAAGGAACTTTATTCACATATCATCTGCCTTTTTATTAATCATTTGTCATTGCTGCTGAAGAGAATTTGGTTAAAAATGCTTGATTTCTATTTTCACTTTTTAATATTTTTTCTTGTATAATATTCTTGTTGAAAACTTTGTGTTGGGAAATATTACAAAATTCACCCAGACAGAATCTCCCACTTCATACGGTGCACAAACTTCTTGGTCAGATGGACATGCACTGTCGTTCCTTTTTAGTTGGACTTGATACACATGAATTGCTCAATAATATCATTACCTGAGGGTATGTAAGCACATTAGAAATGTATTTGAACACCACATTCCTTCAGGAACCACTTGAATGATTTACTGCAAAGTGTGGTGTCATTGTCCGTTAGTAATTCTGCCAGGGGTCCTCATTCACAGAACTGGTTCACCACGTTCTCTGTATCCTGCCGCTGAAGAAATCACCAGATTGTGAATCAAGTGGGGCCACAGTTGATGAGTATCAAATAGTGTCTATCCCCAGTCACTGGCTTACATCTTCCACCTCCAGTCTTGGCCACTGCACTCTGTGCGAGTCAATCTCTTGACCACCATTCTCACTTGCACCTTTGTCACTCAAAGATTGATTTGCTTTGCAAAGTACTATGTCTATTTGACACCATGATACCCACTTTGCTGATACATGGATGTAATCTGCTTGTGTCTGCGTTCTTCCATGGACACAGCATGGGTGCTGTTACTTGGCCTGGCCTCTTGCTTAAGCATATTGAACTACCTTTGCCATACTTGAGTTAACCGGTCAGTGAGCTTGCACTCTAATGCTATTAACGTTACTTCCACTGACAGGTGATACTCGGTGACTAGCTTCTTGATGGTTTTCAGTCTTCTAATCAACATCTCACTCACTGCCCTTGTCTGAATCCTGGCCTTCCCTGTTAACATGTCTGATATCCAATGGTACACACATAGTGAGTCCATCTGCAGATGCCAGGTTGACACCTTTTAACACTGTGTCCAACTCTGCCAAGTTAATGTATGCTATGTCATTCATGGGTCATAACCAACACATCCTTCAGTATGGTTCTGTCATCTTTTAGCAAGATGCTGGTCACTAAAGAGCTTGTGCCAACCCATACATTCACTTTCTCCCAGTCTGCACACCAGTCTCCATGGGTGGGATTATCCTGTCACATTCTCGTCAGAGTCTCCCTTACCATTCATGTAAGGGTTGCTTCATCGTCCCATCCTTGGGTAACCATATTAGCTCTGTGCTTTATAACACCTGCTGCTGCATGCAGCCACCCGCACATAGGTAGGTGGCTCACAAGCTTCCCACATGGTTGACATTGGGAATGTCTGGAACTGCAATTCCTCCTCTCTATAACAATCTCCCTTGCTCTTTCTATACCTTCAGGCCCAGTACCCAGAATCCATTCTTGATTTGCTCCAGGTCCTTGCAGACCAAGCCAAACTGGGCCAACTTTGCCTGTACTCTTGTTGCAATATCCTTATTGATGTAGATGTCATCTAGGTATGCCGAGGTTACTTTCTCGACTGCTTCTTCCTGAGACAGTATGGGTCTGATGTTGGTCTTCATTGTTTGGGGCATCACATTTAGCCCAAAGCCCAGTCTAGTTAGGCAGTACCTTCTGCCATTGAATGTTACAGTCTGGAATGGCCAGAGTGAACATAATCTGCAGATAGGCTTTGCGAAGATCTAGAAGGGGCATGTTTGATCCCTGTTAACACCATTCTTGAAGCTTGCTGGTGCATATATCTGTGTCAGCCATAAAAGTGTTGACATGCTGGTTAAGCTCTCAGTAATCCAGCACTGGCTGCACCTTTTCCTTGTTTTGCTGAAACACAGTCATCAAAGGGATCAGATCCTTAGGAGCTCCCAGTTTGTGTACTGAGTATGGGATCAACTAATCATCCTCTATCCAGTCATGGAGCTCTCACTCGTACACAGACCTGATATGATCAGGCACACAGTATTCTGCAGCTTTGGTGGTTCCTTGTCCTCCGCTTTCATGAGGCAGTCCATCTTCAGCGCTGCACACACAGAAGCTGCCTCCTGAAACTGCATGATTTACATGCATGTGATATGGAGACCACCAAACAACTTGATGGCATCATACCTGAGCAGCAAATCAAAGACCAGCGCCTTCTCAGGTACTACCAGCACATCCACTTCAGTAGAATCTCCAGCCTCTGTAGTGATCCCAACTGTCCTAATGCCACAACATGTGCAAATTTCGTTTATTGTGGACAACGAGACTCTCTTCCTCCTCCAGGTGCTGCACAATCCTTTGCTGACTATCATCTGAGAAGAGCCTGAATTAAGGAGAACTGAAAGCAGTGATCAGTTGACATATACATAGTTGACAGGCAGTGTCTCATCTAGATGTTTTGGGAAGAGACTAATGCTGATGACTTGTCCCTGGCCTTGTTTCCTGAGCAATCATGAGTCATGTGTCCTTCCTGGTTGCACTGGTAGCAGTGCATGTGTGCTCTTCACCTTTTGCATTCTCTGGACAAGTGACCTTGGCCCCTATAACTGGTCCTCCATGCATTGGTTCTAATAGTAGACTGTGTAGCCATGATGACCAGCTCTTCTGAAACAGAGCTCTACCTTATAATGGTTTGGGCACGGTCCAATAACTGGTTCAGTGGCAACATGTCTGTGCTGGAGTTTGCTCATAACAACACGCAGTATTAACCCAGCCAGGAATGCATATCGTCCCAGCTTTTGTAATGCTGACATGTAAACAGCTTCTGTTTCTCTCGGCCATAGCATCTTTGCTGCAAACTGTTCATAGGCTTCCAAGGGGGTGCAGGCAAAT